GTGTCCAGATTGGTTTGGGATTGCTCAACTTCGGCTGATGGAGTCTTGTCGGCCTCAATTGGCAGCAGTGCATTTTTCTCCGCCGCTATTTTAGTATCTATCTCGAGTAAAGTCTGGTCTAAACTCCGTTTGGCGCACTGGACCTCGGCCTCAAACGTGGTTGGTTTGGCGGAGATGCCCTTGGAAACCAAATCATCCTCTTCATCTTGAGTCAAGTCTATTTGCTCGTTGAGGGTAGGAAACTTGGCATCAGTGGCAGCCTCTTCCCCCACTTCATCAGCTTTACCATCCTCGGCATCATCTTCGGGCTCTAGAGAGAAAGACACTTGAAGCTGATTGATGTCTCAGAAGTCGGAGTCCATGAGAACAGTCAGCTTGCTGAGCGCCGCCATCTAACCAAGGTAGTAACCTCGGTTGCAAGCCAGGTTGACTTGCTGTTTATATTAGTCGCGAATGGTGGCTTGCCCCTCTTCGAAAGCTTTTTCATCGGCTGCCTTGACTTCAACTTCCTTTGAGTCAAGGGCCTCTTGAAGCTTGGCCTCTAGGTTGGCTGCCTTAGCCTTGGCAGCCACAAGATCAGCTCTGGTGACCTTGGCTTGATCTTCGACCAATTTGGCCCTTTCCTCGGCCAAATTCTAAGCAACTTTGGCATCCTTAGCCTGGTCCATTAGAGTTCGATTGTTGGCCTCGGCTTTATTGAGTGAGGATAGGAGTTAGCAGCTTCCTTGGTCTTTCTTGCCAACTTTTTCCTCGTCATCTCAGTTTTGAAAACATATGAGTGAGCATGTTGAATAGCCTGCAAAAAGTAAAACAGATTAGTGAAATTTTACTAAGTATAGAAAGAACTGTAAATGAATAAGTAAAAGAGGATTACCAAAACTGAGTATTGCATCATGATAGCAAAGTTCTTATACTCATGCAATTTAGCCATGTGGTTCATGTCTTTTGGCAAAAAAACAGCAGTTGGCAGGGCTGCGCCAACTTCAAGATTTGTCGCGCTGTCACCGACAGTAAGGGGTCTATTGTCCACCATAACCTCGGGCGCCCAGGTCATGGTGCGGGGATAGCTGCTGCCTTCTGGGTGGTCGGATCTCAGCTTTTTGGCCGGTGGGGCATCAAATGAGGGGGCCTCGGCTGGCCGTTTATCAACAGAAGGGATGCTCTTTTCAGCCTTGGTAAGTTTGGAAATTGGCATAGTGTCCTCAAAATCGATCTGAGTCACTGTGGCCTTTGCTTTGGCCTTCTTCATCCTTTTTGGCTTTGGATTTGGTTGGGATGGAGAGGACGAGGGTTGCACCATCACAACCCCGGGGATATTTACGAGTAACTCTTTAACAACTGCCAGTTTGCGGCCCATCTCATTGGCAGTGGAGGCGACTGTAACTTTAGTGCCAAAGTGTATGGTTGGAAGAGTAGTAAGTTGGTTTGCTGGGTTGTAGGCCGATGACTCAGAAAGTCGGGGTTTGCGGTTGCGGGTTTTGTTAGCAGGGGCAGAAATTGGAACTCGGCGTTGGTGTTGGCGCTGGGATAGAGGAATTAGTTGAGGGGCTAAGGTAGATGGTTGATTAGCTGGGTCAGAAGTGGAGGCCTGATCTGGCCTTGGAGATGAAGTTGTTGGTGAAGTTGTGGTAGAAGGGAGAGTCCTTCTTTGGCGAGGTACGTCGAGCAAGGCCGACTTGTGGTTGGTATGTAGTTCAGTAGAAGAGGCGCCTTGCGCTTCTGCAAAGGGAGATCTAACAGCCTCTTCAGATCTTGGCTGGGAACGAAGGATTGTCGAAATCTCTTTGCCGGCTGGGGGAGAGAGCTGCAAAAGAAAAAAGTAAAGAGGCAAGAGTTTTTAGACAAAGATATATTAATTTGACAAAGTCCTAAACAGAAGTGTGATTAGAAGAATGACTCAGTCCTTACCATCACCCTCTTTAAACACTATTCGGCTCAAGGGATAGAGGTGGAGGTCTTCATCAGGTGAGAACTCCCAGTTGCCCGAGACGATGAAGTAATCATCTCCAGCACCCTTGTTGGAGTCTAGGAGGTCGGCAATAAGTTTGAAGACGGTGGATCTGGGCTTTAGGTAGTATATGTAGCCTTTTTCGGACTTGAGGCCACACATGGTATAGCAAAATTGAATGTCGGCTAAAGTGATCCTAGCCTTTTCTCGGTGTGCTAGTTCAATTATGCCATTGATAACCCGATATGAGTTGATGGCTAACTACATAGGGTTGAACTTATAGTAGTGAAGGACCTCTATAAAGAGAATGTCTAGGGGAAACCAGAGTCCACACTTTATAAATACTACTACTGGGAAGGGCATGGCATCCCCATCAGACATGATAGAGTCCTTCTCCCCAGGCAACCTAAGGTGAACATCAACTGGGATGGAGAACTCTTGACGGAAATACTTTATTTTTTCTAGGGAGTCTCCTCTCCACCTGAACATACCCATGATGTCGGCTGATGAATGTTGGCTGATGAAGACTAGGACAAAATTTCAGAAAGGAATGTTTGGTGTGGGTTTAAGGACCTCGGCTAAACCCTAATCTGGCAGTTTTTAGGGTTTTTTTGGATCTAAGGAGGGTTTTTTGTTAAGTTTTTCCTAAGTATGTGATCTCTTTTTCAAATCCCAAGCCTAAATCTATATGGAAACAGAGAATCAATGGCAAGAATCTGAAAACAATACAAAAAGAAACACAAAAGAAAATATGATTCAGACTCAAGAAATTCAAGAACACTGAGTGAATGTGTGCAGATGTGCAGAAACTCAAAACAATGGTAAAGTTCCTAAAGTCTCAAGTACATGAACAGTACGTATGTACAGACCCAACGACAGATTGAAAAAGAACTAAGTCGCAAATAGGCACGTTTGACACTCAAATGATAAAATTCAAAACACAAGCAAAGATTCAAGAATGTGAACAGATTCATAATGACAACAAACACCGTATCAGCATGCAATAAAGTTTGAAATAAACCAAAGACTGAAAAGGGAAAAAACAATGGCTTACCGAAAAAGAATGACGCTGGATGAATATTGCCAGAGTCAGACGACGTGAGTGGTCACGAACAGAAGATGAAAAGTTAGCCTTAGAAGGTGATCGATGCAAGTTACAGAAAGCTTTAAAGGAATGAAAATGGAGGTTTTTCGCCGAGAGAGAAAACTTTGAGAGAGTGGAGAAATGCAAAGTGAAGAGACGGAGAGAGGGAAACGTTTTGTTAAAACGCAAAAAGACAGCAAACCATAAATGATATACCTTGGACGACGTGTCTGTCAGGCGGCGTGCGCAGAAGTGACGTGACTTGATGGCGCGTGTCAGGTACGAATCAATGAGAGAACGACGCGTAGATGAAACGGTTAGAAAACCGTGCGTGACAGCTTATGCGCAGATGGAACTCTTGAAGTTCTTGATTTAATAAAGCAAGAACCTCGGGTAGAGGAACGGTTCTGGTTAAGGAACTTGAAACTCTTGATTCTTGGTCATTGATAAAGTAGACTGCAGAGTCTTGGTCATGTCAAGCCGACGTGTGATGATCTCAGTCATGAAAGATGGAGTAAGTCTTAGCCGACGTGCTATGTGGACAAATGATATAGGTTCCATCACCTCAGGATGCCGAGGTAATAGAACCTAGGGGGCAGTTGTGGGAACATATTTTGTGAATAACAATACGTGGCCAAGGTGGCACCAGAGTGTCAGCCGAGGTACCACGTGTCTTGGTCATGTTGCCGAGATGATCTTAGCTAAACTGAGGTTATCTGCAGAGATACTATAATCCGAAATGAACGGATAAGGGACAAGAGTCTTAGAACGGGGGAGAACCTCAGTCTGAATAAAGATAAAGCTCTTAGGGAGTTTATCTCTATCTGGCTGGGAGTCCAGGATGAGCATTGAGTAAGAGTTCATTGAAGTTAGGCTTCTACAAGGATCATGTTAGTGCTGACTATAAAAGTAAGGCACTTCCGTGGGTCTAAGGTACGCTTTTTGTATTCTGTTTATTGAGTTAAGCACTATCAGCTATCTTTGAGAGATAATTACTAACTTGATCATTAGAGTGCCTCAGGGTGGACGAACCACCGCCAGATTCTTATCTTTATGTAGCAGGTTGTTCGGGCTTAATCTATTCTGTCGGTACTCTCTTGTTGAGTTCTCCTGATTGGTTGCGTCTCAGAAATCAACATCCACAATATATATAGAAAAATTCAGGAGAAAAGGAATAAATTTTGTTCTTTCTTAGCAAATTTTATTATTTTAAAACTTAATTAAAACACTGTGAAAATCCATGTTTAGACACAAAATTATCGCTTGGACAATAGCGCGGGTCATAAAATTAAATTGCAGCTCAAACAATCCCATTTGATTGCAAAACGGAACAATCAACATCTATTAATTTGCACTTTCATCTTAGCTTGAAAATAATTTTTTTCTGTTTGCATTCATGCTTATTTTTAAATTTTGGCCAACAAATATAGTGGTGTTTGGCAAGTGGGTTGGGGCTAAAATAGCCACAAAAGACAAAACAGGCTATTTTAGCCACAACAAACAAAACATCACATCCAACCCATAATCATTACACTCTTCTCTCACAAAAAAAAGCCAAAAAGTCAAAAAGCCAAAAAGCCCTTCCCAAACCAAGCTTTTTAGCCCAGGCTAAAATAGCCAAAAAAGTTGACAAAGTACCATTATCTTATAATTTCCATTTAATAAAAGGGGAAATTATCTTTAAGTGGTAATCTATAACAATTATTACACATTAGTTAAAAATTTATAATTTTAATTATTAATATTTACTATTTTTTGTAATTATTTTTTATAAACACTACTGTCTTGCAGTTTTCCAAAAAAAAAAAAGGGCAACTTCCATGGGGCTAATTTTGTAATTTATAAAGGCAAGTGACAATTTGAAGCACAGGGCTATAATGGTAACTTTAGAAAACAGCAACTAGTTCCTTATTTTATTACTCCCACATGAAACTTCCATTAACTTCTTCTCATCACTTTCACAATCCAACCACCTCTCTCTCTCTCTCTCTCTCTCTCTCTCCTCAGAGCATATCATCAGCTGGAAAGAACACCCACACCCACACCCACAACCACCTCTACAAAGTTAGAAAGTGACTAACCCAACTCTCAATCCCCATATATATATATACACACACACACCCATCCCTAAAGTGATCCTCCAATCTCTCTTCCCCAAAAGCAGAATCCAAAACCCATCAAAAAAATGCCTTCAAATCCATTAAAATCATCATCTCTTGTTCTTCATAGAATCAACACCACCATTACAAACACTTGCCACAAACAATCTCATCAACGGCGTACCCCTCTAACGTGCGCCACTCCGGTGCCGGACTCCGTCGCGCGCTACCACACTCACGCCGTGGGTCCCAACCAGTGCTGCTCCGCCGCCGTCCACCACATCGCCGCCCCCGTCTCCACCGTCTGGTCCGTCGTCCGCCGCTTCGACAACCCACAAGCGTACAAGCACTTCGTCAAGAGCTGCCACCTCATCGACGGCGACGGCAACGTCGGCACCGTCCGGGAGGTCCACGTCATCTCCGGCCTCCCCGCCGCCAACAGCACTGAGCGGCTCGAGATTCTCGACGACGAGCGCCACGTCATCAGCTTCAGCGTCGTCGGCGGCGATCACCGCCTCGCGAATTATCAGTCGGTGACGACGCTCCACCCCGCCGCAGACGGCGCGGGAACGGTGGTTGTGGAGTCGTACGTCGTGGATACGCCGCCGGGGAATACGAAGGAAGAGACGTGCGTGTTTGTGGAGACGATTGTTCGATGCAATCTTCAATCGCTCGCTCAGATCGCTGAGAGCTCGGTCGGACGAGCTTGACGATGAGGTCTTTGTGAAAATGTTTGTTTGAGATTTGTCTGAAAATCTGTAGTTTTTTGGGGGGTTCTCGAAGGTGTGTACATATGTGGGTGTTTTCGAAAACATTTTTTTTTTGGGGATTTCTGACGAATGTGCCCTCCCTGGAGATGTTTTGGTGTCGTTGCTATCTCAGTTGTTAATGTTTTCGTTGCTAATGTTTTTGTTGTTAATGTTTGTAGAACAATAATGACATGCATACACCATTTTCTGAATTTGGATGGTTTCTCTCACAGAAATTAGTCTTAATGGCTTCGTTTGCAATATGAGTTATTTTTTGATTTTTTGATTTTTTTTTTACTATTTTAGTCTAAGATTAAAAGATCTTGTGTGGAAGGAATTTTTTATTTTTATTTTTATTTTTGTGTAATATTTTATTTTATGATTTAGATATAATATTTTAGATGTAATATTTTATTTTATTAATTTATTAATTTATTTTATTTTTTTTGTGATTACATAAGCCGACTAGTCCCAAATATTTGGATGCCATCAACTATCACCAAGGATCCTTTATGGTGTGTTTGGTTGGGGGATTTGGGGAGGGATTTGGAAAGGGAAAGGGAAAAGGTGTGTGAAACTATGTGAAATATAGGCATGATTTATTCATATTTCACCTACTTTTTCCATTTCCCTTTCCAAATCCCTCTCCAAATCTCCTAACCAAACACAACATTAGAGTGTTTTTTTCTTAAAGTTTTTTAAAGTGGTGTATTGTGTGGTTGAGATTTAATGTTGAAAAATTGATGTGACTTGTCATTAAATCTCAACTACACAATGCACCACTCTAGGAAACTTTAAGAAAAAAAAACTCTAGAGGATCCTTGCTCATCAACTATGTTGAAGTATAAGGCTCCGTTTGGTAAGTTGATTTGTGATTATTTTAGTCACAAAAAATAAAATAGATTATTTTAATCGCAATAAACAAAACATCACATATAATCCATAATCATTATACTCTCCTCTCAAAAAAAATTAAAAAAGTCAAAAAAGTCAATCCAGTTTGCGCAAACGGAGGCTGAGTGGGATTCGATTGTGAATTGCATCATTATGAACAAAGTTTTTGTACACAATACATTTTTATTTGAATTCAAAACACTCAATTTTTAAAATTGCATGGATTTGTAGCAGATGCAAGTATTAATGGCGAGGTATTGAGTTTGAGTTTCAGATTGTTCTTAGGAGTGCACCAATGAGGTATGAGTTTCACGTGAAATTGGCCGACTTTTGCGTCAACCAGTATTAATGGCGTTTATATATACTGGCAGCTTTAAGAAATGTTTTTACAAATAGGTATAAATTTGTAAGGAGAATTACAAATAAGAGAGTTTTTTAAAAAAATATTTTTACATACATGAAAAAATTTAGAATTTTAATTATTAATATTTCTAAAGTATATCATTCATATGTATTTTTTTAAAACATTTATTTAAGACATACGTTAAGATGAGTTTCTTTTTATGACTCTTTGTAAATGAAATTTCTTTCTTTTTTTTTTTATTGATTTTGATAATGTAATGAAATATATTTTTCAGAATTTTCTTTCCACAAGTTTTTAAGACATACGTTAAGACGAGTTTCTTTTTAAATATTTATAGTACATAGTATTATTGATCAAAAAATAGTATATAATTTGAAAAGATGATCTATTTTGAATCACATTACTTTTTTATTTTTTTACACTTTTTTTAAAAAAAATTAAAAAGTCAATTTTTAACCAATTTCTTGAAACAATCCATAATATTTATTTTTTTACTGTTACAATATATAGTATAAATTTTTTTTGTCAACTTGCTCGAGTAGTAAGCAGTATCTAAATGACCACAACATTAAGTCTAGGTTTTTTATTAATGTTTTAAATTATTTTTTAATCAAATTTGTTGTGTGAATCCGGTGACATATATGTAGTTTATATTATATATATATATATATATATTGCCAGTAATGATAGAAATATAGAACTCAAATTAGGGAGAATAATAAGAAAAATTCAAATTAAATTAAGAGGGGCAATGCATGGGGTAGTAGGTTGAAGCATGTTGCAATAAAGTAACCAATATGATGGGATCAACACAACAACTTGCAAGTTGACGTTTTTATTTAAATTAGCCGTTTAACAACAACCAAAAAAAAAAAAAAAAAATTGAAATTTGCAAGTTGCAACTTTCTTACAAATTTTCTCTCACTTTCTTTCCCTCTCTCCACTTGAATGCATATATAAAAGAAAATGCAAGTTGCAGTTGTGGGTTTTCTTTTCTTTGAATACTGACTTTGGAGGGTTTTAGACCTTGATGTACTGATGCAAGTTGGGTTTTAATAATCCCATTCCCAACCTGTGCTTGTCTACTTCTGTTATAATCAATGCTTTCACGCCACCCATTCCTCTCTCTCCACCATTCATGATTTGATTTTCTCTCCTTTTACCTGCTTCAATTGATCTCATTGGCTACACTCCACCGCCAATATGTCCTATAATATATTTTAATTAACTGATTTGAATTTATTAACTAAATTATGAGTTATTTATATAAAGATCCCTAAATTATTGAAAAACATTATTTTAGCCATTTAAATTATAAAAACATAAAAATAAATCCCCTAAACTATTGAGAAATCTCACTCTACCCCAAACTATATAAAAACATACAAATAAATTTCCTAAACTATTAACGTATTTCACTTTAATACTTTTCAATAGATTAGGAGAACTTTGTATGAATAACCCTTAAATTATTAAATATTTTAAAAATATTACGTGACATTATTTATGTGGTACTCTAAATCAATAAAAATAAATAAAACTCATATTAAGTGAATAATGTCATTTAATATTTTGTTACTACTAAATTATCATCAATTTTTTATTAAACAGTTAAAAGATAAAGAATAATGCATTTAGTGTGTGCTGCAATTTTTTATTGACATGTAAACAATGTCAAAATGATATTCAAAGAGTATGTGAATATATATTAAATAAAAAAATATAGAAACTATAACATTAATTTTTAGTGACAAAATGTGAAAAATAAGATAAAATACATATAAAATAAATTTATTTCTTGCATTTATACTGAGTTACAAATGATAAAATTGTAAAATTATTTTTTAAATTAGGTATCTTGATTTCTAATGCGGTCTTTCATGTCATTAAAAATATTCATGATAGGATTGATATTAAAATTTTTAATTTTTTTTTCTCAAAATTAGTAATTTGACACTATCATAATTTTTAATGTCACTTTTTCAAAATTGATCAAAATAGTTGTACATTTTTTTATGAATTATGTTATACACACATGATTTTTTTTTTTAATTATCAAATTTTCTTCACATCAATAAATACATGTGAAACTCGTGTCTTTGTATCTAGTAATACTAAGAAGAACATGGGTTGTCCCTAGATGGTCCAGTTTTGGGCTTATAAATTCATTGCGGGTCATGTTTTAATGATATAAATTGCTCAATTTTTAAATATTTATGTGCAGATCATTTTTTTTCTTTTAAATTATATTAATCCAACAAATATCACACACATAATTTTTTATATTTGTAATCGAAAAATAAAAAATATATTTTCAAAACTATATTTGTCAAGTTGTGGGCGAAAACTTGTGGTGAGCTTACAAACTCAAAACAATGCAGAGAATGGGAGACAACTCAACCTCAATGAGAAAATCAAGTAAATATTTATTTATTATAATAAACATATATATATATATATATATATTTGATGAATCATGGAGGAATATTTACCCTGCCTTATTTTACAAAGAAAAGAGAGACACCAAAACTTGCAAGAGGGTAAACTATTATTTCATTGCCAATACAAAATGATCTTTTGTTTTTGTTTTTTGTTTTTTGTTTTTTGTTTTTTTTTCTCTTGATTGAATACAATATGATTAAAAATGTCATTTCACATTTCATGAAAAAAATGTAGCCAGATTTAAGTTCACGACTCATTATGGATCCACATAGGGAGAATTTATTTGATGATTTTAAAATATTGTGTCACACTATTTATTGAAAATACTTATTTAATTATTTCTTAAAATTAATAAAGAGGATGATGAATTTCACTGTTTTAACTAATAAAAAATAAATCCGATCTAAAAACTAATGAAAATTAAATTAAGACACACTACGTCAGCTTGATCCAAGAATAAAAAATAAAAAAAATTCTCTAAAGGCCTACTTTTGCCACTTGGAAACTTGTTTTGGTCACGAGGTCAAAGATTATTTGCCCTCTGTTAGGGGCACTACTTCTACTAGTAGTAGTAGTCCTAGTACAAGAATTCAAAGATAAATTGGAATTGACAAAGGAAGACCTAGTCGAAAAGTCCTTCATTTCCTAGAATTAGCCCAACCGACATATTTGATTACAACCACAATGTGAACAAGATTTTAACAATTTCAAAATCCATATTCATTTATATATAGACCTAAAAGGCGTTAGGACAAAGGGTCACTAGTCTAGACTGGCCTTTTATTGACTAGAATTTATCAAGTGCCAAAATGCAGGAGTGTAGAATGGGACATGATTGCAGACCAAATTTATTACAATGAAACATATATTTGCCGTTTTCGCAACGCGCAAGGTTCCTCTAGAGTCACCTGGTGGATGATCCTTTAGAGTGATTTGGTAGAGCTTGACATATGCCCCACTAATAAAATCAAAGGTTGAGATTATTTTGGTGAGAAAAAAAAATTCCTTCATTTTCTGCTCTCCTTCTCTTTCTCTCTCTGCTCATCGATTTCTGTCTTCACCGCCGGAAACTTCGCGAAGGCAATCATCGATTCCTTCATTTTTTGGGTCTGGAAACCCATCATTGAATATCCCTGAATCGATCGAGATTGTCAAATTCACCGACCAAACAATCCCAGCGAATATTCATGAATAAACCAAACAATATTCTCCCAAATGCTCTTTTTTTTTCTTTGGGATTATTTTCCTGTGGGTTTGTAGAGAAGGTTGAAAATTATTGTTGTGCTTGGATTTGGATTTTTTAATTTTTATATTAATAAGTTTTTTTTTTTTTGATTTGGGAGTTATGGTTGGATGGGGTTCGATAAATTGAAGATTGAAGAGAAGGAATTGAGTTTGAGTTGCATAAACTGGGTTTGAGTAATTGTGCTTGAGTTGGATAAATTGGGTTTGAGTTTCAATTGAAGAGGAGGAGCTCAGCTGGCCAGAGATGGTTTCTTCCTCAGCCCCTCTGC